TTCTAGAAATGGCCGACCAACAATAATTTCTAAAGATAATCCTAGCCTGATCATTGGAAATGCAGCATCAATGAGCGCCACTGACATTGCCCGCATCAACAAACTTTACGGATGCTGTGAGTAAAACTAATAAGCTTATATTTTCTTGTAACATTTTTAGCAGCTCATATTGTTTTTGTTTTTCTCTCACATAAATGAAGGAATCAGCCTCCAGAAACTTCACCTTGCCAGCGATATTCCTGACCTGCTCTGATCTTCTCCTCACACAGAATCTAAGCGTAAAGTTTTAGCTGCTTGATTGAAGTGGTGTTATATTTTATTCTGTTAACGTTAAACCACATATGGGTTTCTATTGGTGAAGGTTTTTCTCATCAAAACATTTTTTGGGAGCTGGGGTTGGATTTGAGGGATGGTGTTTGGGATTATATATTTTCTAGATTTTTTTTCTAAAAAGAAAAATGGTTCAGTTAGTCAACCTGTAATAAAAGAAGTGGGATGGGCCGGGGATTCGGATACCAGTCTCGGTACTTGCCCCACACTGGAAAAAAGTCTAAGACAACAGCATTCTTGATGAACCAAACATCAATATTTTTTGAAGCCTTGTTTTTTGTGAACATGTGTCTGCCTAAGCCATATTAAAGTAGATTTTGTCTCATCTAAAAGGGAAAAAATGGGTTGTTATAATTACAATCTTATTGCAATCACTCACTAGTTACTATTCAAATTATATAGTCTAATAATTAGGTAAACACTGAGCAATGTACAGATACATATTGTTCATTAAATCCAATCAAACACAAAGATTTTAATTCATTACAATTCAATATTTACACCTTAGTCCTATTTACCAAATAATGTCTCCAAGTTAAATTTGTCATTAAAATCAGTAAAACATTTTATAAGGAAAACCTGTCAATTGTATTTAGTCACTGACTTTGCAACATACCTCTACACAATAATGTAGAGACAGTGGAAGATAATTGTCTGATAAAGATAACAAAACTCTCATACACTGTAAGCATGTGAGCATAAGACAGGACAGACACACATAAAAAAAACAACGTGGGCTGTTTCAGCAGATCTACTGTATTAAAGTCCAATCCAATTTTATTGTTAAGTACATTAATACAACCACAGCTGGCCAAAGCGCTGTACAGAAAAATAAAAAAATAAAACAGTACAGATAAAAACAGAAGAGCTAAAACCTGGGTAAATATAACATTCACAATCAAATAAATAAAATTGGGTAAAACATAAAAGGAATAAAAGATAAAAAAAAAAGATTTAAAAAATAAAAAAATAAAGCACATTGTCTCACTGGGTGTTAATAGCCAAAGTGAAACTCAGAGAAGAGGCTTGTCTGATGTGCTGAGACAGGTCATTAAGGAGCTTTAGAGGTGCAACAGCAGGAGCAGCTGAGCAGCTGACCTGAGAGAACAAGCAGGGTAAGGATAATGAAAGTAGACTTAGACTTAGACAACTTCCTTGTCATTTTGTGTAGTCCCTTCTCTTCATCTCATTGATATTGTGTGCATGTTTTGACATACATGCATCTCAGAAGATTTTGATAGGGCTGAAACAATTAATTGGAATAATCATGATTAATCAATTATTGAAATGATCGTCAACAGATTTAGTAATGTATTAATCATTTACTGGAGTGTAGAGACTGTAAAACATTGCTTTAGCTGACAGAGCAACCCACTTAGAGCAGAAACTTTTTTTCAGCATTATTTTTATTGTCATTACACTGTCACAAGTAAAGAGCAACGAAATGAACTCTCTGTATTTTAAATTTAAGATTAAAAACACTTTTTCATCTGTCAGTATGCTCTATCCATATTTTCTAATTTGTTTATTTACCCACACATATGCACTAAAACATAACCCATACATATCTGCCAAAATTGAAATTGAAATAGATAAATTTGACCTAAACTTAGTGTCATTTCTTTCTTAGATATGTTTATAGATGTTTCCAAAAGCATCCTACAACCCAAAACTGACAAAATTCAGACACAAGTATATACAAGTTAAAAACGCTAATACAGTAATTAGAAGAAATAAATTATCTGAAGACTGATAATTCCATTATGTAGTTGCTTGCTTTTAATTTCACATTAATTAATCTTAGAAATAACAGTTTCTAAGATTAACATTTGCTGCAGTAACAACGAAAGATTAAAAAAAAAATTATCTGCAGGTAAAAAGCAAACAGCAGGGGGTGCTGTTGTCCGATTTAAAAGCAGGACAGAATCTAGCAAGGCTGTTCTTGCCCCTTCGGTTTTGTCCTAAGACGACTTTAGAGCGTCCCACAATAGTTGAAAACCTCTGCATTAGGTAATATGGAACTTCATTTTTCTTTTCATTAAAGCTTCAGATACTGCAATCTGCTGTGTTGCAGAGACTCCTGTGCAACATTACAACATTGGGGAGTGTTGGCCTAGTGGTTAGAGCACTGCTCTGAGAAAGGTTGCAAGTACCCAGGGTTCCTGAACAAGACCCTTAACCAACACTGCTCCCTGGGCGCCACACAATGGCAGCCCACTGCTCCCCAAGGGGATGGGTCAATTGCAGAGAGTGAATTTCCCCATTGTGGGACAGTAAAAGGGATTTACATTTACAATTTACAACATTGTCATGGTATAGGGTTACAACTAATGATATTTTTTCTAATTGAATAATTTGTTGAGTATTCCCCCAAATCAATTGATTTTTTTATTGGATAGTAAACGGTTCCTTGAAGAGGATTTTTTTTACAGAATTTAGAACTGTAACAGAAGCTGAAACTAAAAATTATCCACTATTGATGGATGAAAACGTTTTTTTTTATTTTGAATGCAAAATGTTTTAATTTTTATGTGTAAGTACTGCTTTAACTGTGTTGCTCTGTCAGAAAAATCTCCTATATCCTTCTAAAGACTCTATACTCCATTAGTTGATGATTATTTCAGTAATCAATTTATCACAATAATTGTTTTCGTCCTACGAAGGAATGCAGATTTTTGCACTGTCAGAGGCTGCAAATGGCCCACTGGACAGTGCATATACATAACATACTGCATCTACATTAAATTCAGTAGACATGTCTGATTTAACATTAGAAGGTCAAAGGGACCAAATGTATTTGTTTAAAGCTAATATTCTAACTCGGGTGTAAATCATGCTATTTTTCTCTAATTGGGATTTGTTGAAATTCTTGTGCAGAAACCTGACCTGAACGAAAGATGATGTTAGTAATGTTATAGAGGGGAAAAAAAAAGTATTTCTATGGACAGGTCATTGAGAAGGAAACAATTCCTGATATTTACACTTTTAGTATCAGAACAGATTTTTTCCCCCACTCTTCTTTACAAGAGGTCGACAGTTTTCTTCGTTCTATTTCTTGCAGATTTATTGTTGATGCACAAATTCAAGGAGACATTATTTAGATATTACAGCAAGAAAATATACTAATACAAAATGTATGTCATATATAGTGAAGTGAGTGACAATAAAAATACCCAATTCAATAAAGCTACGAAATATGGTGACATCCTTATTGGTGTGAACACTTTAGCCTTCTGCATCGTTAGAATCTACTTGGCACTGCCATGACACCTCCTTTATATAGTGTATTTGCCACATGTGTACTTTAGCAATCATCACAGGACATTGTGTATTGTGATTTTTCATGCACTGATAGTTTACCTGGTACTTAGGGTTAAACTATCAATTTTCCCTTGGTCAGGTATGGGATGTATGATGAAGTTTTTTCTATTTTGCATTCTTGGCTCCAAAATGTGAATGAGCCAGCTGTCAGGAGGCTCTAAGCCTTGGACCCAAAATTCAACAGACACAGCTGGAAGAGTTTAACAGACTTTATTAAAGCTACAGTGTGTAACTTTTAGCGACATCTAGCGGTCAGACTGCAGACTGCAGCAACATGAACATCTCCCCCCCACCGCTTCTCCCCCCCAACAGTACGGCGAGTGTTACGGGACAAAATGTCTTCCACGACGTCCGCATCACCTACCTTCTCAAGTGATGAGGTTTGTTTACATAGATAATTTTACAGATAGTATTTCATTAGTCTGTGTAGGGTATAGATTTCATGTAGACTTAAGATAATAAATATACCCGTTATTTTTTCTACATCGTTGTGACGTTTTGGCGATCTCACAATCGCTAGTTTGTTGGCTCTGCGCTGCCGTAGCGCAAAGATGTCTGCCTCCATGGCTGCGAGACCCGCTCCTATGTAATTATAAATAACGAATTCTAAGGCAACACAAATATTAAGGTTAAGAGGCTGAGCTCGTAGATGATGATAAATAACATAGTTATGTATAATATATTACATTTCTGACTGTATATCCCTGTAATTATTACACACTGTAGCTTTAAGCAAGCAGCGTGAAACGGCGCTTCAGCAGGGGCAGATTACACGGATCCTCTGGTTCAAAGTTCAGTCCGA